CGCCCCCAATCGGCTCCCCAACCCCAATCAGGGGCAGGACCCGCCAGCCAATCGCCCACAGCCCCACCCCCCGGCTGGTCTGGCCCTGATCAGCCCCAATGGGCATAGGCCAGCTGGCCAACCTCCTGCTCTCTTCTCCTCCTGACAGGCCAAGCCCCAATCCGCCCCGATTGGGGCCGGGCTGGCCAGACCCTACCCATGCCCAAATTCGCACACTGGGCCTCTAGTCATTGTAATAATAAATACTAACATTTAATTCTCTCTGTTATAAATGAAGCATACTCATGATGTAGACACTGTGCCTTGGAAAGGTTAAATAACTCAGATAAATAGAAAGTGGAGCTGATCATCGAAGCTAGGAATGCCTACACTCTTTACCATCATGACTTACTGCTTCACCATCATTACTTATTGCTTCCCACTTTCCATAGAGGTCTACAAGATATTATCATATCTTTCTAATCCTTGAGACCAAGCTAAATTGTTCAACTTCAAAACTGCAAGTTACGCACTAGTTATACTATACTGACTATTTACTTCTACAGTGCTCACAAAGAATCATTCACTAATTATGATCAACTTCAAATCCACTTTAGAGTGTGGTACTATTACTGGCATGTTAGCAAGCCTGTAGTCACTGGGCCAAGAACTACCACTGCCATACCTGTGCCGCCAGAGGCTGCTACTATCAGTACAAACACCTGCACTGAGAGGTAGTGCTGGGAGCTGTCCATGCTGCTGACGGCAAAGCCTTGGCAAAACTTACTTTTCCATATTTCCACTCAGATTCTGCCTGATAACCAAACTCCAGTCTTCTTTGTCTATAAATCCATGTTCTAAACAAGCCTTTATTTATTTTCAGTTTCTATTAAAATCTTGCTCTGCCCAGCTCTCTGCCTGCTGACCAAGCATATTCTCTAAGCCCTGCCTGTGTTGCCATGATCCTACCACCATGCTTCATTTTCTGCTTGGATTCTTGAGAAATCAGCCTACCACTAAGGTGCTCTTTAAGAAGGGAAAATATAAATCATACATAATAAATAGTAAGGATATTAGGATTATCCTTGTCATCTTTCCCTTCCTACATTGTTTAGGATATGTATGGGGATCCTCCTCTTATAACCACAAAGCTCCCAGCCAAGAGTTACTTGAACATTATTGTAGGAAATGCAGTCAATAGTGAGAAGGGAGGAACTGACATGGGAGACCCTGATGGAACTGACTTGGGTTGGTGTAGGAAGCAAGAGAAAACAGGAAGGTCCTATAAGTAAGCTAAGCCCAAATCATGCTGCTTGCCTTCCAGTGAATGTTGAAAGCAGATCTTCAGGTCCTAATGAAAAACATAAAAGGTAGAAAATAATTTATAAGTATTTGTCACAAAATAAAAAATATAAAATTTCATCTTTGCTTAACATGCCTATTTATAGCTATCTCACCTTCGCAAACATACATTTCCAGGCCTAATTTACTAATGGAATGCTACCTCTGATTAAAGTGTCTGATATATAAATAACTTTCACAAACTAATTCAAACTAGCGATGTATAACACCAGTCTCAGAGACAGTGTGAAATTTGCTTTAAAAATTGCTGCTGGCTGTCCAATAATTATACACTGTGACATTGCAGCAATATTCTTACTTGGCTTCCATCTTAAATTAGAAAATGTTAAGCCAGTAAAAATATGATATACCAGCATGATATCACCCTAGCAAAGGCATAAATACAATTAAATTTATTTAACTAATTGCCCCCATGATAGCCAGTTATTTATAGCCTTTGATGTCACTGTAGGAGTCATCCCATGGTCATTCTTCTCACAACAAAACAATTTATCTAGGCATAAAGCAGGGTATTTTGTTGCAGCTGGGTTTTACACTAACCAATTCAGTATTAATAATTTTTATTTTAACAGAAGTTTGGTACTCACAGCAAATAAATAACATGCAGCTTCTCGTTAGCAAAAGTACAAATACAAAAAATTAAGGTAATATATTTTAAGTCCTTAATATAAAATCTAAAAGGCTTGAGAAACTTTGTGAAGAGGATGAAAATTTAAGAGGAAACGTATTTCATCTTCTGACTGAATCTCAAAGACAATAGGCAAACTTTTTTACATATTTATATTATTTATATGTCAAACCTAAGTTAGGGAATACCTGGCCCTCTTGTTTTTTGTGTTCTCCTGTAGGGGGTCTGAGGCATCCCATCACCAACACCTTCTTTTTTTTTCTGAGATTTTTCTGTAAAAGTTTCATAAGAATCATGTAGTGTAACCTTACATTTCACAGACGAAAGGAAAAGGCCCAGACATATCAAAGGACTTTCCCAAGGTTACACAGTCAAAAATAGAGCCTAGTACATCTGACTAGAAATAAAATGCTCTTTCCACCAAATTGTACTGCTCGATATAAAATTTGTATTTCTGACTGTTTTTTAATAAGGTTAACCATTGTTATGTAGATCTGACAAAAAGAATTCTTCAGTAATTATGACAGAACCCATCATTAAATGCCGATTCTGAACTTGACTAAGATATTTGGGGGGTTTTTCTTGGCTTTTTTCTGAAAAACACATTTTATAATTCTATTCCAATTTGTATTATTTTTGAACTTGACTGAGATATTTGGGGGGGTTTTCTTGGCTTTTTTCTGAAAAACAAATTTTATAATTCTATTCCAATTTGTATTATTTTTGAAAATGAGAGAACTTCCTACCATGAGTGTCACACTGCTGTCTCCAGATGGATGTAGATAAAGCAGAGACCCCAGTTGTTGGAGGTTTCGAGATAGTGTTTTAGGCTCTTGAGCAAATTGCCCCACCTGTTGTGTCATGTGTCTTAGGTTTACCACAGAAGGAATGAATTGTTCTGGAGAAGCATTTTCTTAACTTGTTTATACAGAGATATTTACTAGGAACACACATGTCAACCTACTTGGTGCATTATTTCATCTATTTTTCTGACCAGAGAGCACATATTAGAAACTGTAATCATACACATATTTATCAGAGTATAGTTATTCAGGCTTCCTTTCAACACACTATGGCCCCTTAACTTCTCCCTTCAAGCACTTGGGGTTTTTATGTTCTCAGTACATCCCTTTGATCTAACCCTGTTCCAAAGAGGTGATAACTAGTCACCTCAACACAAGTATGAGTTGAAGTGTGCTGTGTTCCCTCTTTAGACTTCAACTCTAATTGTAGAACTAAGGGTTTTGTCCCCCTTTTGAAAGGATTATATGCAAGTAGGGGAGATTTCTTTTGGATGGGGAGTTTTTCCTGGCACAATTGAGTCAACACCCAAGAGGGGAGTTCATTAAAACCATGATAGTAGGTGAAAATTTGGGGGGGGGGGGGGGGGGGGGGGGATTAACCATTAGTTTGTTTCCATTGTTTCCATCTAAACAACTGAAGAAGTCTTTGTGAATGTGCTTTTAGTATGGCTGTTCCATTCCACTGCTTCTAGACCATCTTTCCTAAGTTGGTCTTTCCAATTAAAAGTACTTTTCACAAGGTAGAAAACTAAATTAGGTAAAGAAAGAACATAGAGATTATCAAACTTCATTTTCAAATATTTCCCTCCTACAGATAGTATGCTGAAGAAAATCATTTTAATTAGAAAAACCTAGGGGGAAACTTATAATAAGTACTAAGTAACTAGGTTTGCAGAGAAATTTTTCTCCAGGCGTAGAGCTTCAATGTCAATAAATCCAGCCAAAGAGAACTTCTGAAATACATTACTACTGATTTTTCACTCCAAAAAAAAGAGCACATTCGAAGGGAAATATTACTCACTTTTGCTAAAACAGCAACTTGGGCCAAATATAATCATATTTACCCGTTTGTTTGCCTTTAAATATTAGTTTATGTTAGTCAAGTAAAGCTTTTTCCTTTATACCATGTCAGACTTACTTTTTCCTTTTTTGCTTAATAAATACTGTCTACTTCATAGCCTAATATATGATAGCTGTATATCATGTACACATTCATTTGTTATCCAGCAGCAAAATGCATTTCTGAGTGCTTTTGTGAGTCACTGAGGATGCTATTGTTGATATATGTCTCCATCATTAACCTTTGACTTACAAAACTGCTATTACAAAAGAGAATACTTTTTATACACTTGTTTGTACTTTAGTTAATACATATTTCAAAAGGAAATTTCAGATTGAAGTTATCTGCCAAGACAGAAGAAATTCTCATCCAAAACTTATATGTGTTAAATATATATGTATACATGTATAATATTCAGGCACACTTTTACACTTTTTCTCATTTCTTTCCATCAATTAATATTTATAAGCATAATAATTTGAAAGTCAATCTGAGACAAAGATATAATTTCTAGATAAGACAACACAGATGGTGGCATGCATTCTTGCAGAATATTTTCATGTTGACTCTCTTAGAAGCAATCTGTATTATTAGCTTTCCAATGGATCCACAGCATGAAGAACTCCAAAAAAGAAAATTCCAAGATTCTAAAAACACTTGGCTGTGAACAGACTTAGTGGACATAGTATCTCCCCCTGCCAAGTCTCTGGGAAACAAAGAACTAAGAATATAGCCCCGCATTTCCTTCCCCAATCTTGTTTAAGAACCTTGTTCCTAAATTGTTATAGGCTGATGTAGTCACTACCAAACTGACTCTGACAAAGTTAAATACATGAGCTTTGGGCTACAAGGAAAATGGAAATTTGCTATAGAGTGTGATGAAAATATATTAGGCAGAAGAGCTATGTGATCAAGGAATGAATTAACAAACAGGACAATACCCCATAAGCAATATCATAGGGTCAGGGTTCAGGAACAATCTGACTGCAGATTGTTATCTCAAAATGATTACAAGTAGAAAAGACACAGAGCCTATCTGTTATACACACAGTAAATGAGTATGTAATCACTGGGGTAACATTAAGAGAACAGCCAGCTTCATGTCTAACCATTAATGACTGGTAATAAAAGTGACAGTGTTTGTTCAGCAAGGGAAAAAAGCTGTTTCCTATTGAGGAGACACAACACAATTTAGTCAAAAGCCATTCATCTATGCAGGGATGGTGCCAACCTCGCCTAATTCAAAATAAATGAGTCTAGGGCTAAGCTGTGCTTTTTGTGGTTAAAGACAGTCTATTTCAACATTGTGAGGCTCTGAATTTTTAACTGATGTAACACAAAGGTAAAGAAAACAAGTTAAATACAACTATGAGAAAGCATTGCTAGATTCTTGGTTATTATCATTAACTAGAAAAAATGGCAGCACTTAGGATCACATGCTAGATTTTAATATCACTATTTTCTAGACAAGAAGATTGAGCTCTGTTAAATGGATAAATAATTAAAGAAGTTATCAAGAAGCCATTGCACTATTTAAATAAGAAACCCAATTAGTAGGCAGGCTAAACTCTGAGCAATTGTGATATGCATGGGGAAATGAACTGAATTTTATTGGTTGGGGAAAATATTAATTCATAGTTCCTTGGATATAAACAAATATCTGTTTAAAAAGTTTTGTGTGAACATAATACCATACTATGATTTAAAGAAAAAGCCAAATGTTTTTAAAAGAGTTAGTAATCACTCTGTCCACATAAATTAGTATTTTATTTCAGTTAGATAACCTAATTGAATTGTAATCAAATTAGAAGGAAACTTAATTTTGAGGTCAAAAAATTACCATAGATGGTTTAAAATTTCTCAAATCAGTAGCAAACTTAACAAAGATTACATATCATTAAAGAGATATATACATGTTTACATACACAGCATTATTCTTTTGCTAAAATTACCAGCCAGAGTTCAAATATAGCCAGCATCCAAAAGTTTCAGAGGTATAGGTAAAATAACCACAATCAACAGTACATTTTTCTATGCAAAGGTGAGCCAACCCACAACAGGGAAATTTTGAAGCATCATTTAACTAGGAAAATAGCCTGACTGAAGCATAATAACCATCACACTGTTGCCAGAACTTCCATGAGAAAAGTAAATTGCTACTGCATTCATTTGAAGGAATTGATGATACGCTAGCTAAGTGGCATCATGAAATCGCTTTCGTTTCACCATCTTACTCATAATCCATCATGGTTCTAATATACAAATGATTACAGGTAAGTCTTTAAATTTTAGCCTAACCAATGTGGAAACTCCAGAGTACTATACAATGGGGTAAGAAACAGGAAGCTAAGAAACAAGACACTTGGGTGTTAGTTCTGTCTTGTCACTAACTGGCCTTTATACTGAATATAACTCACTGGACCTCTCAGTGTTTCTGTTCTCTCATCTGTAAAATGAGGCAGTTGAACTAGATGATCCCAAAACATCCCACCCCAGTTTGGGCGATTTAAAATAATACTTTAGTCTACTCAAATATTTATGTATCTCATTAAACAAATGCTTTCTAGAATAAAAATTAAATCAATTAACTAATATTTATTGAACTCTTAGAGCTGAGTATTAACCATGTTAATTGCTGGGGGGAAAAAACACCCCCATACAACACAATGCAAAACAAAAGGAGTCTGGGTTTCAATCTTAAAAGTGTGTGTATAAATGTGGAGGAGGGGTAGACCTATAATTCTTACTTGTTTACATTCTGTAATAAATTAAAATGATGCATCAAATATGAGAATTTATTAATTTTAATAAATGTACTATAATGGTACTCTATGCTGTTGGTTTACACAATAAATGAACATAATTTTCAAGTGTTCCCTATTATGTTTTAAAATGTTTCTTAAAATTTTCGTGAGATTTTATTCTCTAACAGCCACCCCAGAGCTCAAATACAAAATTAAGTGTTTGTGGTGCTTCATATGCAATGGTACAAAAGAAACATACTAAGAATTTGGTTGAAGAGGGTAAAGGTAGGTCAAACATACGGTAAGGGAAGAAAACTAGACTCTGAGTGGTGAGCATACAATGCAATATACAGATGACGTATTATAGAATTGTACATTTGAAATATACATAATATTATATATGCCGCCCCAATAAATTTAAATTAAAATTTTATATTGCTTAAAATAAAACATAATACAGAAGATGAGTTACACTAAGAAATATATTTTTTTCAAATAAAATCACAGATGTAAAAAATAAATTCCATTTCTTCTATAATTAGAAGCATAACGGTGTATATGTTTTTGCTATCCTATTTTAGCCTTTAAATTTGTCCATATTTAAAAATTTTAAGTTATTATTTCATCTGAGTCCTGGCCAAAGATTTAGGACAGTTCTACTATTAATGGAATCTGTTGACCCATCTCTATTTATAAAGTCACCAAACCCCAGTCTGTTTCCACCTGACTGGGCTCCAAAAGGGTGAAGGCAGCGGGAAAGTTTGCAAACTACAGCATAATGGAATGACTTACTAAGCAGAGTGCACATTGCATACAAAGAAGAACAATATGAACACACATGTGCACAAATTCACTTACCTAGCAACTCACTTGTGGAATAAGGTAACTATACAGGTAGATTTTTCAAATTATGCTAAAGTTTTATTTAATCCTTTCCCTATTAATCCTTCATTATGTTTCAAGGTAATCTTTATAAATGATTATGTCATAAAATAATACATGTGACTATAAATAATATGTATTGTAAAATAATATAATGCTCTCAGAGAACATCGCTCCACACCAGCAACTTTCAATCTTTTTCATCTCATGTCAAACACAAAATAATTACTAAAATGTGGCCCGGCTTGGTGGCTAAGTGGTTGAGCATCGACCCGTGAACCAAGAAGTCACTGGTACAATTTCTGGATGGGGGCACATGCCTGGGTTGCCCGCTCCATCTCCAGTAGGGGGTGTGCAGGAGGCAGCCAATCAGT